CTTGGTCATACAGAGAATTGCCAGAATCGGCAGCTTAGTGTTTAGTCCTCATGCACACTGGACGTTTTTTACAGCGGCTGTTTTTTGGCATTTTTTTCTACAGCCAGTAAACTCCCCAGCATGTTATCCTATGTGTCCATGCACACATAGACTGTAAACCCCAGGATTAGTGGGTTTCTAGAGTTATTTTTTTTTAGCTTTACAGCTCTAATCCTAAAAAACGCAGCAAAGCGCGTTTTTGGATGTTATTTTGAGCAAATAATTTTTTTTGTAAAAAAAAAAAAAAACTGAGGGGAAAAAAAAAACGCTGCGAAACGCTAATGCACATTTTTAAGGTTTCTTTACACAGCTAACGTTACCAGCGTTATTAAAACGGCCAGTGTGCATGGAGCCTTATGGTTGACCATAGATTGCATTTGTAACCCCTAGGACAAGTTTGTTTTAATGTAAGCAATGTCTTTACTGTTAATCTTCTAAATACCTTGTGTTGATGTACATATGTACACAAAGGTTACCATATTTGCTCAAAGCAGTGAAGCACAAGAGATATTTCTGACTCATTTTTAAGGAAAGTCAATGGATGGCACAGAGGTTGGAGTTTCATTGAAAGCTGCCAGAGTGTCACTCTGGAAAAACCTTTGCAGCTCGGGTCATTCTAAGGCCGGCCATACATGGGTCGATTTTCAAATGATTTTTTGTTCCAAAATCGGACCTAAGAATAATCGGCCGATTTTTCGCTCTGTTAGTGGGAAAATGGTACCAGCTGATTTTCGTGGTTCCTCCCCATTTCGTTTATCGGGCATGCTGGAAAATTTGTGAAAAAACGAGCGATTTTTGAAATCATTGGTGGCACCATCGGATTAAAGAACGAACGATGGTTTCAATTTTCGATCTTAAAATCATTCGGAATTCGACCCATGTATGGCCTGCTTTAGTATGGAATCCAATGCTCCTTTCACCTGGCCTATTCTCTAGCTAATCGTTTCACAGCAGCTGTTAACAAGGATGCAGATTGCATTTTCTAAAGGAAATGACTAAAAAAGAGAGTGCTTACAAATCTGCACAGAAAAATATGGCAGAACGTACAAGTAATATGAGAAACTTGTCAAACGTATTTAAGAACAACAAGCATTTTTAGGAAAACATTTTTTTAAGAGTCAGGATTAAACGAGATCACTGTTGATTGACAGCAAATGGCATTAACACATTTAATGGTAAAAGTAGCTGCTCTGGGAATTAGAACACTTGTCATTTGGACTGTCAGGGCATGCAGGGCTCCAGCCTACCAGGGCGATTTGGTTTCTTGATTTTTGCATGCCTGGGCGACACAGGTGGATTTATTTTGAGTGACCCTTTAGCTAGAGATTAGCAAAGAAGCTCTGGAATGCAATTTTACCATGGAATATTACTGACGCTCAGTTGAAGGTTTAATCTTCTAAGCACTTGTACCCTTGTGGTAATCTGTTTTATTACTCCCTACTGATGTCTGCAGCCTACTCAAGAAAACTCTTAAAGGAACCTTATGTGATAAATCACTAGTTCTGTTTACAGCTTTAGGAATGAACATTTAAATTCCTTGATAAAATATAACCATGTTCTAAGTTAGACTGGACGGTATGTCTTCAGCTATTGAAATACAACTATCAGAGTGTTTAGAAGTAAAACAGTCATCTAGAGAAGAACACTGGGATCTGCACCTGGTCAGTTGTTAGATAAAGTACCATGTTTTCTCTGTGTCAGAATTAATGTTCATCCTAGTTCACTCTAAGTGCAGTCGTTTTCAATGGTCATCTGCCCCGGCCATGCACAGAGCCCTGTCAAAACCCTGTGCAACACTCCGTTATAGATTCACAATTTTAAAGCCCAACTTGGGGCTGGTGGGAAAAATAAGTGATGGAAGCCCCTACCCCACATATAGATAATGTAAGGCTTGTTTAGTTTAAAATGGATGAATATTCACCTTACACCTCAGTGCCACTGCAGCTGGCACTCTGGTCTTCTCTCTTGGCTCTCGAGGACCATAATGATGATGATGTTGTGATGGCCAAAAGTAGAGCTGCATGAAGGAAGAAAGCCATAGAATAGAGTAAGACTTACCCGGTAAGTTATGCACTCCGTTCGAGCTCCCCTAGACTAAACAGCAGTATATGTTGGGGAGTGCCAGTATTTATTTTTAAATTCCAGGCATCAAGTCCGATGCAGCATTGTCAAAGTAAATGATCTCTGTATGACTTCTATCTACATCGTGAAATTGCTTCGCATATGATGGTCTTGAACTACACTAAAAATAAACTTTTTGGAACAAAAACAAACCCAACTCTGTATTAGCCATCACTAACATGAAATGGCCCCCAGTCTTATGTGAGTTCAACGGTTTATCTTTATGGTAAGCAGAGGGGGGGGGGGGGCATGTCTTGGTAAAGACAAGTAGAGCCACTGAAGGAAGCCTAGTATGAATTTAGGAGGTGGGGTAAAGATTATTCCTTTCATAGGTTTGCTTTAGTGGGACAGAAGTGTATTTGCTAATATGTAATACTTTAGTAGCTAAAATGCAAGTCTTTTTTTTTGTTTTCTAGAAACCATTTTAAGAAAAAATGAATTTAAAAGTACGAATTAAAATTAGCTTCGTCTCGGTTAATAAAAATATAAGTTTGCATTTAAAAAAACTGTTGTTTAGAAAGCATTGTTTGTGTGTATAAATTGTTAGATTTTTGCAATGACATTAAGTGTAGAGCATTAAGAGAGAAGAGCCTCTAACTTCAGCAAGAAAACCCAGCAGCAGCACGTTAGGACAGTTGTGAGATTCCATCGTAGGGAAGACGATGAGCCAATGCATAGTCTGGATTCCCCTGATCACAACAGTCCCTCATCACCCTAAAATGATTTCACAATATGAGCCGCTGACAGAGCAGAGGTCTCCACTGAATAGGACTTTGTGTGCTCTGAAAAGAGGCTCGTTATTCCATTAAAATAAAGCGATACCTGTTCTCCCCTCCCCCACTCCATGCCATCAGCCTCTCCGCTCCCCTCCTCTGCATTCCTCTGACTCCAGCTCTCTGCAATGCTTTCTTCATAGATAGAAGTTCCTCCAGCCTGTAATTATATTTGGGACCAGTAATGGGCACCACATTTTTTTGTGTCGGGTTAATGCATTCAGGAGATAGTGAAGGAGGCTGTCCTTTTAGATTGGAGAATCTTCTGTGTCTTGGTACGTGCTATGTTCTATAGATGTTACTTGCTTAGATATTAAAAGGATATCACAATTATTTATTTATTTATTTCAGGTACTTATATAGCGCCGTCAATTTACGCAGCACTTTACATATATATATTGTACATTCACATCAGTCCCTAACCCTCAAGGGGTGTACAATCTAAGGTCACTAACTCACATTCATACATACACATACTAGGGCCAATTTAGACAGGATCCAATTAACCTACCAGCATGTCTTTAAAGTGTGGGAGGAAACCTGAGTACCCGGAGGAAACCCACGCAGACACAGGGAGAACATGCAAACTCCAGGCAGGTGTTGCTGTGGTTGGGATTCAAACCAACGACCCTAGTGCTGCCAGGCGGAAGTGCTAACCATTTAGCTACTGTGCTGTCAATTCACCATGGTCATCAAGACAAAAGAAACTGTAATTTGCATAAATTGAAAATGCATAGTATATTTTTTTTTCAGAACCAAAAAACAAATCTGTGGCATGGTATACTATTTCTACTGACAGTTACCATATAAGTCATTTATATGCGCTGTACAGTTTGCTGGCCAGAAGTGAGGTTTAGACTGTTTTTCTGATTATTTTTTGAAGTATACATATGTATTTATCTGTCTGTGTCAATGTGTCTTTGTAAATAAAATGCATTATCTTTCCCTGTTGTCCTAAGGGCTACTGAAGAACACTTGTAAATTTGTACAGAAAATAAAGCAGTTTATGTCTTATGCTGGCCATGCACAAAGGGCAGTTTCACTATTTCAACTAACATTTGGTTGTTAAAGTGATTGTAAAGGTTCAGTTATTTTATTTTTAAAATAAACACGTTATTCTTACCTGTTCTGTGCAGTGGCTTTGCACAGAGCAGCCCAATCCTCCTTTTCCGGGATCCCACGCCGGCTCTACTGGCTCCTCCCCCGGAGTGCCCCCATAGCAAGCCGCTTGCTATGGGCGCACTCATGCAGGCTCATTCTCATGCCAGCTGTGTGTGTCTGTAGAAACATACACAGTACTGCTTGGGCCTGGCCCCTGGTCCCTCATCACAGGCTGGATTGACCGCAGCGGGAGCCAATGGCTCCCACTGCTGTCTGTAAGCCCATGAGTATAGAGAGCACTGAATCAACATCAGGCACAGGTAAGTATTTGGCGAAGGTAGGGGGAGCTTCACATTAAAGGTTTTTTACCTTCATGCAGAGAATACATTAAGGTAAAAACCTTTAACCTTTACAACTACTTTAATATGATGAAAGGTGATTGAAAGAATTAAGGTAACCTTTCATTAACAAGCTAGATTGACTTAATGCATTCTCTGATTACAACCTTTTCAGGCATTCCGATAAAGAGTTTGGGGTTTCTTCAACTTGATTACACAACAGTTCATTGAAAATAGTGGATTTATTTAATTTTTTTTTCCATTATGGAATAGTGTGGATGATTTCACATGGTATAACAAGCTGCCATGAATATCTACAGTACTCTGCTTTTTCAGCTATTTTTTTTGCCCCTTTTTAATACAGTATTAAAAATAAAGGAAAAATCATTAAAATTAAAAAGTACATTTTTCTGAATTCATATGCCTTGCTTAAAAAAAAAAAAACTATTTTCATTAAATAGAAAAGGGAACCTGTTGAATTAGAATAAATGGCAAAAAAAAAAAAAAGTTAACACCAGATGAGTTATTTTTTTTGTTGACTGAATTGCATGTTTTTATTTCATGTATTATGTCATTTACCTTTTTGTTTGTCACGTATTTTTTTTTTTTTTTTTTTTTTTTATCCTAGGTCCGTAACCAACACTGGAGTCTGATCATGGAAAGCGTTGTCCCATCTGATAAAGGCATATATACTTGCATTGTGGAAAATGAACATGGGTCAATCAACCACACTTACAGTCTCGATGTCATAGGTAAGATACACACCTCTATCTGGTACCCACTGTTACTAGAAGGGCCTGTTCACGTATATTGTTTCTGCAGGTGTGACATAAGAACCAAGAAGACAATGTTTTTATGAGGATCACTAAGGCTTTGATTTTTTCCACTGTCTGAACTAATTTACCTTTCGAATATTATTTTATTGAACTAATGGCCCATTAATTTTTCATCATCCAGAAAAAAATGATTGTGCCTGATGCTGAGGTTATATCAACATCTTGTTTACTGGTTATTTTATTATTATTTCCTATAGTATTTATATAGCGCCAACAGTTTGCTCAGTGCTTTACAATATAAAAGGAGACAATACAGCAACAATACAGTTCAATACAAGAGGGTTAGGAGGACCCTTCTTCTTGGAGCTTACAATCTAAGAGGGAGGGGCTGGTGGTACAAAAGGTAATAACTGTATTTCAGAATACTTAAAATTAACTTGCAGATTAAAGAAAATCTGTCAAGAGAATTTGTAGGCTAGAATTCCTTTATGTCAAAAAGGACTTCTGATTTTTCTCCAACCCCCAGTGAGAGTAACAGCCAGGCACCAAGCATTTTCAAAAGGAGAGCAGCTTTAGGTTTTAATGGTTGAGAAGTGTCTTTTCATCAAATTTGATGAAAGAAAAAATATAGTTGGTTCTGAGCAGGGGCAGACTGACCATTTGGTAACTCGGGCGCTTGCCCGGGGTCACTAGGGGGCCCCTGGTACCTTTTTCATAGGCTTTTTTGAGTTTGGGCAAGGACACAGGGGATCCATGATCCCCTATTGCCCGGGGCCCCATGAGTTGTCAGTCCGCCCCTGGTTCTAAGTCTACTGTAATTTCCCTTTTGCACTAATGTACAGTAGTAAATTTTAGAGGCACCATTACTAAAAATCTCTGTGCCTTAATGTAATTTCAAAAGTTTTTAACCTTTTTAAATATGTAGCTTTTTAAAAAAAATAGTACCGAACAGTCCTAAGTACTTAAGGTCCTTGCTCAGGCTTTTTCTGTAATGGGGTGATAGCTTTTTCCCAGTTATGCTTCTGTGTTGTCACTCGGTCACATGTGCCTCTAGTGGAGATTACAGGCAGCTGTTCCCACTGAGAAATTGCACAGGTTTGGTCCATTGTTACCTCTGTTAGAAACCGGAGCCAAAACAATGATGTGAAGCTGACGCTTGAGTGAGTACATGCAGACAGAAAGTGGCCGAGGGTGGCTGGAGTAAATCAGGAGAACTTGGATGGGAAAAAAAAGTGAAAATGGTATGTAAGAGATCTGGATTGGATGGCAGTTTCCACCAAGCTGCCCCAGGTTCGGACCTGCTTCTTCATGAGAATGGAATATGCACATACTTGTCTTTTGGAGAGATTCCACTAGATTTTGTCACCAACACTTCAGGTCTGAAGCCCACAGTACAACTATATATATATATATATATATATATATATATATATATATATATATATATATATATATATACACCTGCCCAGAGGCCTGTTTCTAGAATAAAGACTGTCCAATGAAAACTGGTTTTTCAGTGCTTTACTGTAGAACAGCTTGCATAATTTGCTGGCAAAACATTTCTTAATCTTTACAGTGCATAGTACAATAGCTTCACAAATACAATGTTAATGAACAGCTGCCACTTTCCGAGGCACTCTGAGGAGTTCCTCAACCATGAGTTATCCATTTAGATATACAGCCGAGCCCAGGCCCTGGAAGCCCTTTCAGACTACAGACCTGTAGGATGTAGGTCAAGGGTAGCTGATTTCCTTCTGCTTTCTTCCTTGCGAGTCCCCCTAATATGGGACCTCAACCCAAGCCTCCTGTCAATCCTGCCCTATAGGGTCTCCCTTTCATGCATAGATCACAGACCTACATTATGTTGATCAAGGGTGACCTGGCTCTATGCTCCCTTCTGACATGGGCCCTTCCCACTGCTGGCAATAAAGGGCCGAGACACCACCCACTGACATCTTCAGGGGAGTGATATCTCTAAAAGGGTACTACCACCTACCAACAAGTATTTTATGAAAAAATAAAAATGTGGCAGTTTAAATCACAGGACTTTAGCAAACTGAATGTTGTCTAGTTAGGGTTTGTATTTACTTTAAATAAACCAGCACAATTTTAATTGAACATCTTTGGTTAATTGATGGATGGCCAACTCTATTAAAATATTCCCCTGCAGTGATTTATTGTTATATTGTAGTGACATTTCCTACCCAAAGATGAACAGTAGCTTCCACATGAAACAGGACACAGGAGGAGGGCCAGTTTGTGGAGTCTCCATCCATCTGCTAGCAATAATTTTGAAACATAGCTTCGTATAAATTGTACAAGGGTGCTGTTTGCTTTCAGCCACTGACAGAGCAATATTAAAGACAAATGGCTTTTTGTCAAGCAGTCATAAAGTACGAAAACCTGGTATCCTAATTCAGGGTAGGAGGGCATTCACATGCCTCCAAGCAACTTGTTGATGCCTTAAGCGGAAATGTGCTGTGGCCCCGCCAAACTGGGCCAGTGTCCTGTAACCTCGAGCCAAGTGCTTATGTCAGGATACTTCATTACCAATTTCTTCTTTGACTTCCCAACCTTCAAACCTGACAAACTTTCACAGAGGGCGGCCAGGAGCCGAGGAGGAAAATTCCAAACAAGTCTCCAGGAATAGGTTCTCCTTCCTGCCAAACTGGGCCTTGCCATGCCATATCTTATGCTGTAAATGAGTTAATTTCAGCAGCGCTCTCTTTTCCACAAAGGCTTGCTTTGTATACAGTTAAATGGTCTTTTGGCAGACATTGCACTCTTTTTAAGGTAAAGAAATGATCTGCCTTTCATAGAAGTTAAACTTTGCATTCACCATTATGCAATCTTTGGCTTCAGACTTCTTGTCAAACTGTGCCCTTTTATAGGTCTGTATAGTACCTTAGCAGTGTGCACTTACCTATGACCATTAATTTGATTTAAGCAGTTTAGTGTGGTAGAAGAATGAAAGGTGAGTGACTGACTGGTTAGTCTTTGTTACTGCTTGAAGCAAAATAATGGTAACTGCTGGAAATTGTCACCTTTTGTTAGGAGGTAAACATACTGACTACTGCATGGGAATGTTGCCATTAGAGTAAGTGAAAAACCAAGAAGCCAAGGGGTGACTCAACCCCTAGACATTCATCACTAAATTTTCAGTTTTGGATGAAGTTTCTCTTTTAGGCTCCATGCACACTGGGCGGTTTAATAACGCTGGTAACGTTAGCTGTGTAAATCACGGTAAAAAACTTGAGTTTTTTTAGCGCTTTTGTATTAGCGTTTTGCCGCGTTTGTGTTTTTTTGAGGTTTTTTTTTTTAAATATATATTTGTTTTGGTCAAAAAAAGTCCAAAAACGCTGGTTTGCTGCGATTTGCCACATTTTTCAGTTTTCCAGCATTTTTACAGCTAAAAAAACTCCTCTAGCAAAACAACTAGTTCTGTGTTTTTTTTCTAGCCAAAAGATGCCCCTGCCAAAAAAATGTTTATTTACAGGCTATGTGTGCATGGACACATAGGATAACATGCTGGGAAGTTTACTGGCTGTAGAAGAAAACGTCAAAAGCCAAAAACGGCAGCTGTAAAAACGTCCCGTGTGCATGCGGACTTAGGATAACCTCCAGTTCAAATAAAATGTAGGGGTACTTCGTTAAATGTCCAGAAGCTGTAAAAATAGCTAAAGCCCATAAACATCCATTCTTGTTTTTACCAGAATTTGTAAGTGCTATATGAATGAGTTAAATAAATGTGTTGCAAGACTCAGTTGCTCACTTATTAGACAAGGTGGTATCAGAAACTGTACACTTCACCTTGAACATAAGTCTTGAGTGCCAGCATTGTGTGTCCTGGGTTGTTTTCATTAGACTTTGATAAGGGCTGTGTGTTTAATACAAGCAGGGCAGAAAAACAGGAGCAGAATCAGCCAGCATGATTTATTATGATCTTCCATGGAGTGTGATAATGGATAAGCCAGGTGTACTGCTATGGTATTTTTGCCAACCTGAGAAGCTTATGGTTAAACCTTTCCTGAGTTGCATGCAGACAATAAGGGGCAGGATACAGAATGAAGACCTGAGCTTGTACATGAAAGCAGGATGCTGCTGACCTGCGATGCTCTGCAGATTTGATTTTTAAGTTGGTAAACATCTGCAGGACAGCGGTTCCTGTAAAAAAAACATTAAGAATACTAGATCTTGAAATCTGTGTTTGCTCTCCTGCCCCAACTTGTATGTCTGGCAGGCAGGGGAGAGGTTGTTGACATACATCAGGTTTTGTTAGATGGGTTGGAAGTTGAGACATGACTGTACAAAGCCCCGGGAGCTGGTGGCATCCCTTGCTCCTTGATTTCTATTGATGGAAAAAAAAAGTTTTATTTTTTGTCGATAATGGCACAGATATATGGTTAATATATATCTATTCTGGTCTGGTAAATTGTGATTAGTTTACTTGCAAAGATGCTATACAGTAAAATAATGTGGGGTATTGCTTTAAACTGAGGTGCTGAAAAGATTGCTAATCTAACTTTTTTTTATCCATCTAATGGCAGATCAGATAGTAACATATTAGTACCTATCCAGTATTTAAAACACAATAAGCAAGTGCTCACCTACTCTTTTATGCAAATGGAAATTACAACTCATATGGGGCAAAGCAGAATACACTCTCATTGGTTGACCATAAAAATGTTCCTCTGGGGGGAGGAACAGCTGTATAAATGAATGGAAATTCACATGTACATAGCAGATAGAGGCTGGGGATACCATAAGGTTTCATAAGGGTTGTTGCTTTTCTCCAACTATTATGGTGTAATGACGTGACCATAGTGGTAGTGGAGTTCTTCTTTATGTTTCTATTTAAAATCTATTTCTGCATGGGCCTATGGCCCAATACCACTGAGCAATTGGTTACACACAGTAGTTTTAATTAAAGGGGCCAAGACTAAAGCAGCATTACTCGATTTTCTTTCCATCCATCA